GAAACAAAATACCCAACCTACACATATGAAATAAAATGGAAATGATGATGGTCTTCTCTGTCCTCGACCTTTATCAAGTACAGTATATCATGACTTGATAAAGCTCCAGGATGGACTGAAACAGTCACTTTCATTTCATTTCATATATGTGGGTTGGATTATTAAGCTACACAATGATAAATTAATGTGGTGAAAATATAGATGTAGCAAAAATAAAATATTTTACACATGAGAAGCATATACAGAGCCGTGGGTAGATGAAGACTTGCTATATTGTTATATAGTTTCCAAGAGATAATTTTGTCTTTACTTCTTGACAGTTTTATCAATAAACAATATGAAAGGTGCATTTGGAACATTTATATTTTTAATACATATTGTACAAACACCATTATTCCAGAGTATAATTATTAAGTACTATATGACTAAAAATCTGTAATATTGGGGAAAAAGATTTATTATGAAGTTTTTATACGAGCCAGGCCATTCTGTTGTTCCCTGAAGCAAAAAGCAGCTTCATCAAAGGATAAGCAATTGTCGACATTTACTCTTGTGTTATGGTAGGGCACTATGCTTATGTCTCTCACAAGGTAACAGTGGGGAAAGCCCGATACTGAAGATTACTCAGTCTATTGGCTGTAAGGGTCTTCAGGAGCACATTTACCAATGATTAAATATGCATCAAGGTAAATCTCCAATGGAAAAACTTAAGGACGAATGAAAACAAGTCATTACTGGCTGACTTAATATGTTAAAAATGCTACCATCACTGATACTTATATCATGGCACATATTTTATTATATCAATATGCTGTCTTCATATATACAGGGTTATTCCAAATTAAAGCAGACTGATTACCTTACACTGTTTAGAGCCAAACTAAATTACAGAATTGGATGTTAAAATTTACGAGTCAACATAACTGATTTTTTTTGCGCAACTTTTTATTGAAAATAATCTTGAACGCAGGTACGTAAGCTTAGATCGAGTTTCGTTAACATCAAAATATTAGGAAAGCATTTTGACAAATTTCTCATTGTGAAGATATCTCGAGTACCTTAGCTTGTACTCGCCTAGTTGTGGTTGTGGGGGTTGAGCTTCGGTTCTTAGGTCCCGCCTCTCAACCGTCAATCAACTGGTGTGCAGGTTTTTGAGCCTACTGGGCTCTATCATATCTACATTTAAAGTGTGTATGAAGTCTACTTCCACCACATCACTTCCTAATGCATTCCATTTAGTAACTACTCTGAAAAGATTCTTCCCTTGAGAAGTATAGTTTATACAGTACTGTTAAACAAGATTTGTGGAAAATTATGCATGTCGGACGTGTGCTTGATACGCAAGTGCTTTGACCTTGCACTTTGGCATCTCATTAAGTATTTAATGTTACAAAAATATACAAAGCATTATAATAAAAGTTCATTGAATATTTATGTACAGTAATTAGCAAAAGTTACTTTACTACTACTGCATTTAGTATATAAGAGAACTAATATTATTTCATTAAAATCTTAAATGTTAATAAAGTTTTTATACATACAGTAATAATTCTTAGATCAGTTCACATTATGATAACAAATAATTAGTTTTTAACTTTTGTTTGTGACATTTGTTGTTTTGCATTTCCCCCACAGCAAAAAAAAAATAATAATAAATTATTATTGTGTAATAAAATAAAAAGCCTGCTCATTCCAAGTGTGCATTTATAAAAAAAAAATGGTGTACAAATTTATGTATGTAATGAATGTATACTGTATATATACTGTACAGTACATGTAATAGTATATATGTACTATACAGTATATATATATAATAGTATATATATTGTACAGTATATATAATAGTGTCTCTTTTATACAAATTACAATAATTAAAACTTGTCACAACAGTAAATATTTGATTCTACCAGAGACTGTAGGTAGTATTTACCATATCTAGGAGCTTCTGTTAAAGGTCAAAGAACCTGGTACAACATTACTTGATTCTGAAAAGTTTTTCCAATCATCTAGACTCAAGTTGGTTGTCATGTTTTAAGGTATATTTTTGAGAATATTCCTATTGCTTACCACACCTTAAGGGTTAAAAAAAGGCAACAAATAAAGATACATTCATTAATTAATTAGCTTATTTGATCAACATTACACAAAGCATTTCTCATGTAAAAAGTGAGGTAATTATGATATGAACAGAAATATAAAGCATTGAATGTAATGAAATGACATTTGGTGGGGCCCCCTGAAGCTCCCTGAGCATAATCTTGAGACCACCAAGCCTTAGCCAAATGCATCTGGCCTTGGAGATTCCTCTGCCATCTACTGGAAAGCAGGACCATAATCTGGCTCACTCTACTAAGCAAAGGGTAGATTGAGGATCAGAAAATGACTGAAAACCAAGAAAGCTTGCCAGAAAGAACAGGCACAACAAAAATTGACTGTCCTATGTAAACAAGGCAAATTATCGTTGGTGTTGCATAAATACCCTAACTAGTTCACCAGGCAAATTATCGTTGATGCTGCATAAATATCCTAACTGTAGTGCACCAGGCTGTCATTATTTGGCAGCCCAGGATGCCTTGGGTCTCGGCTAGCCTGCTTTTCTGTGGAGAGCCCCTTCAGCTCCCCGGAGCTATACCGGGCTGATGTGTATATATTAGACCGTGGCAACAGTCAATCAAAGGAGTTCTAGGCCTACCGGGGACCAGAGCCAGAACCTGGCCCCCTCAAGAGAGGCATGAGGAGCAATGGCCTAAAGACAACCTTGTGTAATTGGATGCAGTCTTTGTCTGCCATCTACCAGGGCAGGCACCCAGAAAGGTAGGAATCCCAAAACAAACTACTGCTGATAAAAAATATTGCAAACCAAAAGCCGAACAAGCAACAGAACTCCCCAATCAAAACCAAGGAAACAAGTATGTCACCACAAATGCCGCGCATCCGTCTGCACAACCCCCCTCCCCGGAAGGGGTGACAGGGGGGGGTCCCAGACCTCCATGCCAGCAACTCTCCTCAGTTCACAGGCTGTTATGAGGGCGAACAGTTGATAGACTCTGGCTCTATCCTTTGAGCAGTGCTACAGTGCGGTGTTGTTGTCCAGTTTTAGCATCGTGCAAGCCAGGAGTAACACAAGAGTACTGGGGCTGCATGCACCTAATGCCACCTTCCCTAGATGGCATTAGGTGCCACCTAGGTGCCCTGTAAGTATTGCCCTTGCGGCTTCAGGGTTATCTTCCCTGAGTCGTTCGGGAACTACCTCCGCGTGATTATGTTGCTGTTCGGTGATTGCCCGCCCTTGGGATTCAGCTGGGGTGGTTCTTGCCCCTGTTTTCCCTTGGGTAGGAGGTAGTTTCGTCGCTGGCAGGGGCACAAGGTACTGTGCAGCTGTCTGATATACGCATAGCGGCCGGTTCTGTTCCCGTGGAGACGTGCTTTTGCTAGGTTTTCTTTTAATTTTGTTTTGTTTTGACTGGCGGGGGTCTGCCTGGTGTGGCGGTAGGACCACTTGTAGGATTTTGGTGGCCCTCCTCTAGGTCCTTGTGCTTGCACACGTTGCAGGGGTTCAGCTTATAGTTTGATTGCTTGGTAGCTCTGGGATAACTGGTTAAACCACAATATAGGACAGAAAACAGTACAATAGATGCGTTTTCACCCATAGTGGTTATAAACCGCCAAAACTGCTTATTCGCCAAAGCCATGAATGCCAAAACTGCTGAATTTCAAAATCCAGTTCCATAAAAATCTTTAAGACAAATGGGGGGACGTTTGACAAGCCGACGACTTCCTATCCTTGTTGAGTCCACTTGAGAGTTAGTGGCCATCGGGTAAATTCAAGCAAAAGGCACGTTTTCTCAGAAAACAGCTTAGACAGGCAGAGCATACCCATGGAGCATAAAATGGAAGCTGCATGCCAAATACAGTACTCAAGCACACAAGTGTGGCAAGACCAAATGATTCCAACAAGGAATGAGAGGTCAACATCATAAGGACTGCCAAAAAGTCCAGAACCCAAATATTACGTTTGATGAAAATGTTGATACAGAATTCATCTTGGGCAAAATGAGGCATGCATCACATGGCTAAGGGAATAAGATGAATGGCCACCCCAAAAGGTGAAAAAAGATGTCCTGAGAGAAAATTAGACACCTAAGAACTATCCAGAGCTCTGAAATGCAGTCTCATCATGACTGAGGGAAAGAGAGGGAACCTACCCTGGCAACACAGATCATGCCCAATCCAGCCAGACACTGAAAAGGCACCAACTGGGATGGCTATGTTGACCAAAAATATGGAGTAAGCCAGATCTAAGAGAACCAGAACCTAGGTCAATAGGCAAAGAAGCCATTTGTCGAACAAAAGGGTCCCCATGCCTAAGCTATTCAGACAATGAAACCAACAATAATGGCCCTTGGCATCTAAAGAATACAAAGCATATCCTGGAGAAGTACAAACTGCAGCATTAATAGTGGAATTGGTTGGAAAGCCATAATGACCCAGCTCATTACACATACAAGATAAATAAATCCATAAGTCATGTACAGTACACTATCCTAGTGTATTCTCAACAAACGTTCAAGACACCTAACACACAGGAGAGAGACGCTGGCATGATAAATAGTTTTTTAAATGTATGCAGTACAAGCATATGGTCCATACACCCGTCTCTTCCCCATCAACAGGCCCCTCAGACAAGAATTAATCTCACATAGTGTCTGGAAGTGAAATGACTCAAGAGGTGTAGGCTTATAGAAAAGATAGGTTGTAAGCCCTCAGAACAGATATATCAAGCAGGGTATAGGGAGCGCACACAGTGGGTGGCACAGACATAATTATGGAGCACTGATAAGCAGTGGCCCCAATGGAATTAATGTTCCAGTGAAAGCTTGTAACACCAGGCACCAAAAAAGGGTAAACTGGCTGAAGCTGAAGATTTTGGGCTACCATCTGATTGGCAATCGGGCACATCACAGCTAGGGTATATTTCCTTCAAGTAGTTGCTTATCTCGTTGTACCTATTTTTTTTTTGGGGGGGGGGGGTGTCCTGATTTTGGGTCAATCTCTGTTCTGCAAACTTCTCTTTATCGTGCTTCTAAGGGAGCCCGATTCTACCCATGGCCTGCAGTAGGTAATAAATGAGTCTTTGAAGCCAGGTGTGTTGGGCTAAAGTTTAGTGGTACTGTATCAGAATAAACTCAGAAAGTTACTGATGGGATCCTCCCAGAAATAATGCACCAAAATAATTAAAGTTTATGAAAGATAATACAGTAGGCTCACAATTCCTTGTACTGCAATTTTACATGTCCCTCTGCTTTACAATAAAATACATTAAACAATTAAAATATTCTGCATGGTAAAATTATATTTCTACACACTCAAACAATTAGTACCAATGTTAGTATGTTAGTACCAACAATTAGAATTTAAAATCAATTGCATTCAATAATTGCATTCTCAATAGGAGACTAAGCATGCCCCTGTGGTGGTGTACCAGTCTCTCCAGCCCCTTGCACACAAGAATATCATTCATCTGCCATGCTATGGAAATCAATAGCAGGACAGATGCTGCCAACAGTCTTTACTGATTTGGAACAAACATAACTTAAATCATATTGAGGCTATATACTTGAATGTTAAATAGCTTGGTAAGCAGTAACTTTGTTTGTCAATATTTAAGCCCATGAAGTTTACATAGTCTTATCAATGCTCATTCTCATCAAAAAGATATGACATTTTTTAAATTGCCTCAGATTATTTTGTTTTACATTCAAATTTGTTATTTTACAGTAAAATAGTTAATATATGTAATATATTTGTCTTGGAATGTAACATTATTTCAATAGGGTTAAATAAATTGTTTATGGTTGATTTTTACATGTGGTTTCAAGGAATGTATCCCTCTGTTGATCTGCAGGTCTACTGTATTTTGGATTTAATGAAAACCAGTTTAATTACCGGGCTAAATAAGTCCTGCCATTACATATTAAGTTGTCAGGGGTCAAACACTGCATTTATTATTATACATTAATATACAGTACTACAGCAACCATAGGTATCCAGTATGGCAATACGGATATTCACTCTGTCAGTATTCAATATGGCAGTACTAGTATTTATTTTGTCAGTATCCAATATGGTAGTACTGATTTTGTCTGTCCAAAAATGTCCATACTGTTCACAATATCCATTCTTGTTCACAATACCATATAGTAATACTGTAGTGATATTGTTCTTGTCCAGTATGTCAGCAATGACCTTGTATGTTGGTTTTCAGTAAAATAAGTTACAATTATAGCTTTAATGATTCGTTATCTGATAAAAAACTGTCACATGTTTTGTCTGCCATAAATATGATGAACTGCAATGTTTTCCTAGAAAATCTTGTAAAGACAATTTAAATCTCTTGTTATTAGTACAGTAACATTAAAATTTATGATGTTTGTGTTGCTTTTCTATCAGCAATATCTGAACTATTGTGTGTGGTATATGTAGCACACTGTACCCAGTATGCATAATATTCAAGAGCAATGCCAATTCAACGTTGATGGTGTTGATTTAATGCCATTCTTGCATACTGTGCCCACTGGGGTACAATGTCTTGCAGTTGAAGACTTTCTACTGATTGTGTGCAGTTCTTGAAGTTTGTAAGTGAGTGGAAGAGGAGGAGGAAGAGCAGCAGTGATAGTGAGAAGAGAGGGTGAGTGAGAGAAGAGAGAGCAGAGGAAGGATTCAACTAGCAAGAGGTGCAGGACAAAGAAATGAAGTGTGTAAAGAGAGGGGAGGATGGAGAGTAGAAACTGAAGCATGATTGGAAAGAATGAAGGAGATGAGAAGATGAATTAATAGTGTCTCTGCGTGTAACTGGATATGTTCAACTGCTTATATATACAGTAATGATGTGCTTGCCCGAGAGTCAGGAAAGGGTACAACTAACCAGCCCACTATTCAGGAAGCTTTTATACCCTGCTGGTTCCCAGCTTACATTGACATCACTATAATTTTTTTTTTAATTACTGTATGTAAAAAAAAAGTACAGTATCTATATACAGTATAGACCCAACAGCAGGCTTGATGGCAATATATACAAATATTTTCATTTCCTTCTGCACTGCTATTTTTTAATGCAAGTTTTTTTCATTTCCTTCTGCACTGCTATTTTTTAATGCAAGTTTAAGTTTGTATACAGCATTTACCATTGCACTGTAGGTATATATGCTTCATTTAAAAAATCATGAAACATTTGTATTACTTTATATAATTGTATATTATAAATTTGAAATATATCAGTGCTTATTCCAGACACTAAATGAGCCATGCTAAAGTGTTTACAGCCTGTTAACCAAAATTTAAAATTAAGTACTGATAAGATTATTATTACATTGTACTTAAGTTTGTGCTAGTTTCAAGTGACACAATCTGAAATGTTTATTCAATTATATATTTCTTACTTTTGCTTAAAAAATTATTTAAATATGAGAATATGCCCTTAGTTTCACCACACAGTGCATTTCTTCTTTGGGTTCATTTTAGACCCTACTGGACAATTAAAAGCAGTAGCAAAATCTGGAGAATTTGTGAGAGAACCAAATACACGGAACTCACCGGGCACATGAGAATCCTTCATGATCTCCAGGTGAGCTGCTTCTTTAGTGATAGAGGAACACCATACCTGTATTAAATTAAAATTCTGTTAATTTCACCTTAATGATTAGCACAGCTAAATGCCACTGAACCACAAGTATTGTGCAGAACTGTTTCCAAATGCTGTACTGTACAATAATATGCCTCAACTTTCACAGGGGTTACATTCATATACAAACCATATTAATAAAATATCCACAAAAATCAAAGTTAAAGGTATAGGGAAAATTTGGGTTGAGTTTCAGAAACTTTCAAACCTCCATTTTTATGGGCAGTCCCACTCAGTGGCTCCACAGAGCTTATGTATAGTTACCTCCGAGGGCCATATCCAACACACCAGGTAACTGTGACCATCTCTTTACTTGCTATGAAATTTTGCCTCCATCATTACCCAGCTACCCATTACCACCTTCATTTCACCTGAGACCTGTGTTAGCCAAACCACTAGCTCTTCATGTTTCTTTGGTCTGCCGAGTACATTTTTTTTTCCAAAGGAATTAAGCAAGTGAATTTGCCTGTCACTTTGCATCTCTCATGTTTTTTAGCTTGCTTCAGCTGTGGCTCTAGGGTCATCTTTTCTGGCATGCTGATTAGTGCAGTGTCTGTGAACATAGTTATCTGCTCTAACATAGACGATTCCTTCATAGGATGGCCTTCTCTTGAGTTTTCCATATTTCAGGTGGTGCTGTGAGACTTGGTCAACAAGCAAGAAACTAGTAGTAGAAGGGCATGGCTTAAAAGTAATTTAGTATGGTTCTTGAGTGTATACTCAATTGGGTGAGGGGTTCCACGCTCATAGTTGGCTTGCACTTGGTGCGTGCCAATTAGTGGTATGCATTTTTGTTGATGTGGCATCACAGCCTGTAACATCCACTTGAGTACATGGCTATCCACTCAGATAGGGTCTGGGTGAATTTCCAGTCTTGTGCATTGCTGGGGGGTGGGGGAGGGAGGTTATTTGCACTGCTTGGTTCTAGAGCTAACTTTGATATCATGCATCATTAGCCATTAGCTAGAATGTGAAAAGATGGAAGAGATTGTTTGTGTGTTATGGCAACAGTTCATGATTGTAATTGTCACTGTTTAAGTGGGTTGAGGACTTGTGCACTGATTTGTCTGCTCTTATACTTAACTCTTGCACATGATGGTAGGATTAGTGTATAATTATATTCCTGTGCTTTATGGTGGATGGGGAAAGGGGGTGTACTCGCATAATGATGCTTGTGGGAAGTGAACTTTGGCTCTTTGGTTCTGCCTTTCAACTGTCAATCAATAATGTACAAGTTCCTGAGCCTGTTGGGTTCTATCATATATATATTTCAAACTGTAAATGGAGTCTGCCTCCTCCTCCACCTCACTTCTTAGTGTATTCCATTTATTCACTTCTCTGACACTGAAAAAATTCTTTGTAATGTTTCTGTGGGTCATTTGGGGTTCTAAGTTTCCACCTGTGTCCCCTTGTTTGTGTACCACCTATGCTAAATAATTTGTCTTTATGAACCCTATTCTTTTACTTGTTAATTGTTGTTAATCATGTCTTTCTTAACTCCTCTGTCTTCCAGTGACATGAGATTTAACTCCTGTAGCCTTTCCTCATAACTACTGTAATACCTAAATTTTGGGACTAGTCTTATGGCATACCTCTAAACTTTCCCAGACTGTCTCTGACTTCCTCTTGTCTTTGACTAAATATGGTCTTCACACTGGCGTCAAACAATCCAGGACTGGCCTGACATGATCTATATAAGGCTTTGTATGATTCCTTACACACATTTTTCTAAAGATAGTTCTTATGTTAGCCAAATTAACATATGCTGCTGATGATATCCTTTTCATTTGTGCTTCACGAGACTAACGCAACAAATAGGAAATCAAAGGCAAAGGCCTGTTTCACTATTACTACATTACATGCAATGACAAATTCAATGAACTTAGGACTACCATGGAGAAAAATGAGGTAACGCTGGATGGCAATACACTGTATAGAGGTAAAAATCTAAGTGAATAAAGATAAATTAATTGACAAAATTAAAGCACTACAAGATGGTCAGAAGGATATGTTGAAGCATTTACAAAATCTGCAGCAAATATTATAAAAGTAATTTGTTGATTATCCTGCAGTAAGTCAGGAGAATCCTGAGGGGTACTTCAGCAATTGGGGAAAATAACTAGGAATGCAGGCAGTGTAGGTGAAAGGAATTCAGAAGCTCTGAAGAGAGAGACTTCAAACGTTTTAGAAAGAGACAACCCAAAAAAAATCTCATTAAAAATCTTGCAAAAGTAGATGATAAACCAAATTGACAAAATAATGAGGAAATGATAGAAAAGTCAACAGGTGAAGAGGAGGATGTAAAAATTTCCCAGGTGGGGAGGGTAGGTAAGCCTGAAGCAAACTTAATACAGGTATGCATAACCATCACAAATCTCGAGCACAGAAGGAAAATACAGGGTACTCAGAAATGCACAAAGCCTAAGATGTCTGGATAGATAAAACATGCTTAAAAACCATCAGTAGTTTCAAAGCATTATATGACAAAGAGTGCTGGGAAGATGGGATACCATGAGCATTGCTCTCAACCTGTAACTACACTTAGGTAATTACATACCTGCAGACCTCACAGTAAAACAGTACAAAAATGACAAGGAACTGAAAGAAAACCTAAAGGAGCTAAAAAACAAAGGCCTCATCTAGGTTGGGGCTTCTTGGGCACTGCTCACTAGGCTGCCCAGGGGCAGTGGTCAGGTCCATTCCATCAGGCACACAGCACAATGTACAAGTTTGTAGCACTGTGGCAGGCCCTGCGAAGGATTTGGCTTCCTCTGGGCTCAGTGTTCCAGCATCACTAACTACTCCCCGGTGGTTCATTGCCTGAACTGAGGGGGGAGGAGGGGTCGCTTTGGTCCCTTCCCCTTTGGCGTTGGATGCTTTGGGTAGCTCAGCTTCTGGCATCTTGGCTTGGATATATTTTATATAATCTTTTAGCCCCAAACCAAAGCCCAACTAGGGCTTTACAGTTGATCCGACCACACACTGGGCTATGGTAATGGCATTCACACTCTTATGCCCCACATTAGATCACAATGCTTTTGTTCATTGCAAAATAATGAACATGACTTGTAATAATATTCACTTTTGGCTATTATGTCAATATTATTCTAAATATTTCAGTTAAAGAAATGTCTTACCACAGACATACAGGTAATGATAAAAAATAACCTCATCCCCCCTTCTTGTGTTACTATGTAGTTTATGTAAAGAATTGAAATACACAAAGACTTTTACACTCTCCTGAGTGCTTTATCAATGTATGAGTATATACATTAATATTAACAGGACTTACATCTCAATGTTGAGATGTAAGTTCTGTTCCTATTATATTCTCAGACCATAATAATGCACTCAGTAGAGTGTGAAAAACTAGGTGTAATTCACTTCTTTACATAAACTTTACATAAATCAAACATCTGTATATGCCACTGAAAATCTGTATCAAACACAATTTGTTTGGACCATCCAGGAATTTGTTAGAGCGGGGTTTATTCGAGTGAGTGTGCACCGTTTGTCATGGGCTGATATACAGGCTCAAGGGTTTTGGAAAATTAATAGGGCAGCTAGGTATCTGGTCAATTTTCTTTGTCTCATTCATGCTTGTGATGCCTTGGGCCGGGTTTCCAAACCTGGTGTTTCTTCAACTTTGACGCTGCCTCCTCTCCTCCTTCCTGGTATGTCCCTTCTTGTTTTTCCTTCTTTATTGTTAGCTTCAGTGAGCCAACAAGGGGCTTCCCCAGAAAACCAGTATTGAATGTAAAGAAATGCCTATTTCTGGGTGAACCACAGTAGCCCCGTAACTCCCAGTTGCAGTGGTTTTTAGCCCATCAGCAACAAACTTGATACAGGAATCTGGCTCGGCTGGAATACCACTGACTCGAAGCTCGATGTACGCACACAGGTGTGGACCTTTCATATCCAGTTCCAAATTAACAAATTTCTTTTAACTTTCTTTTGCAGTGTCTGTTTCAATGCTTCATTTTCACGAATAAAGTCATTCGCTGTGTTGTTTTAACTGCTTTCCGGTTGCTTTCTTGGTGAGGCAATTGTAACAATCCCTTGCTCCCTGTGCCTCTTTGAGAAGGCCAGGTTCTGCATTTGGTCTCTGGTTGGCCAATAGGGCTCCTATGACTGACATGGCTAAGTATTGGGAGCTATATTGGCAACATAGGTTCATAAGAGCCACCAGGCTCAACAAGAAAGGGGTGTTTCATTATAGCCAATTTCATTTTTATTCTGCCAAATTCAAATTTTTATTTGCAAAATAAGACCAAAAATAAATTCTGCCAATTTCTTCCTTACAGTAATCTGTGTTGTATTTTCATACTTACCATTAATTATTATAGGACTGAAAATGGTCAGCAAGTGGTCACTGCACTAACATTAAAAGAGGACCTTCTATGCAGCTGTTCATGAATTTATATGGTAAATGCAGTCATTTTCAGAAATATTCATTATTGAAATTATCTAAAAAATAATATAGCACATGTATAGTATTTTTTTTTTATAAATTACAAGACATTCCAAACAGTGAAGCTCTAACCTGAGAAAAGCCAAGGAAGAACAGCTGTTGATGGGTGAGGCTGATGCCTGGTAAAGCTTTCTCTTCCTCATTTTCGTTGACCCACTCCTGGTAAGCCCGGAAGCTTGCTTTCAGCCCACCATTGTCTGCTATATTCTCACCTGCAATTCAGATTACATACTGAATACCCCTGGCTCAAAAGTGGCATACTTAAAGCAACTAATAAGAAACACTAATATGAAAATAAACAAAAGATTGGTCTAGTTACAAAAGAAATAGTTAAGAGATGCTCATCAATGTTTACCAATATTATATGAAGAGCCAAAGCTTCCTTTTATGAGAATAGATTTAAAAAAGCAAAAGAAAATATGAGAAGTACATGGAAAGCCATCTTTAACATCCTAGGGTCTAAACAATCACATAACAAGCAGATAAAACTCTCCAAAGATGGTTACACACTTGCAACAGACTTCGATATTGCAACTGTATTCAATAACTAATTTTCATCAATTGATGCTAATCTTGCCAGAAAAATCCCAGAGACCCAGACACATGTTACTATATATCTCACTGGCAGCTATCCTAATTACTCCTTTATCAGTCAGCCCAACAGACATTATATCCATAATTCAATCACTTAAAACCAAAGCTGGGAACATTAATGAAATGCCATCTATGATATATAAGAATACTACCCCCTGCTCTTGCACTACCCATAGCTCTGCTATTCAACAAATCCCTAAGGTCATATTTTTCCTGATATCCTTAAAAAATCCAGAGTGACGCCAGTTCATAAAAGAGACGAGACTGCTGACATAAATAATTACAGACCAATATTGTTTTTAATTTTAGTACAGTATATTCATTACATTCATGGAAGAAAATATGGCTTGGTTGTGTAGACTTGGCTTCTTTTGTGTTTTGAGCTTTATGCACTAAAGGTTTCCTTCCCTGGGGTACTGTTTATCGCTGGCCCTGCACTAACAGAAATACTTCTCTGGTGTGTTTAGGAGTTTGCCCCTGAGAGGCTTTGCCATCTGGGTGGAAAGCCTCACTCTGTGCAGTTCAAGTGTCCCTGGCTCTTCCGTGTAGGCTCTGGGTTGGGAGTGTCCTCGTTGGTTGTGAGTAGGTTGCGCTAGGGTACATGCTTGCTTTGTTTATACAGCATGCCACAGACACCCTTCATAGCCACATTGTTACAGGCTGCTTTCGGTGTCTCTTCTTTTTGGTGAGTGTCCTTAGTGCTTGTGTGTCTTGCTTGGCTTGCTGCTTTCAAGCCCTAGGAATTGCCCTGCAGGTCTATGGCGTAGCTCGTATTGGACTGACCTGCCAAGTCCACACTTGATATGTGCAAGTTTGAAGGGTGCTTGCCAGTCCTGCTACTGGCTGACAATCATTCTTTCTGCCTCCATCATGTTGGGTGAATGTGATGTAATTGACCAAATTTACTAGACAACTGCCACTTTATGGGGATAGGTTTGCCCATCTTCAGCATTTATGGTGTGGTGCTCATTCAGATGCCCAAGGAATTGGCCCCTCTGGCGTTTAGGGACAGAATTGGAGGTGAAGATGAACTTCACATGGACTGCATCACCTCTTTCTTCCCCTTCGTGGGTGGTATGCCATGCTTCTGATGTGCCTCTTCCACATGCTGTGACTCTGTCCCTTCAATGGGTATCCTGGTTGTTCCCTGTCCCAAAGTTTTTCCCAAAGTGGGACTCGGTGGACCTATAGTACATCCTTGATCTGTCGGGTTTGAACAGCTTCATTCCCTGTCCAACCTTTGGCATGACCTGATTGGCTAAGGATCTCCTGGTCTTTCAGGCAGATTCTTGATGTCCCAGAATCTCAAAGATTCTGTATTGGCATGTCCTGATTCACATGAGGTTCAGGGACTTATAAGGTTTCATTGTAAGCATATCAGGCTTACTGCTTTAAGGTTAATTTAAACATTTAAACCAGCCTTGAATTTAATGAAACGCCTCTTTCTGGTGGAGCCCCGGTGGCTTTCTGACTCCTCCCTCCCTAAGAGGTCCATCAGGTTGTTGTTTATCAGCTCCAGGCTGATTTTTGGAGCTACCTGTCGGCCGAGACTCCGGGCCACTTGATGGCGGCTATTGGTACTAACAGGTTCAAGGTAGATTGAAGTGAACCAATTGTTACATTTTAATCATTTGCAGAGTAGTTTGGGCATTTTAATATTCAATTTTCTATGAACCTTGCAGTTGTCCATAAAGCTTCTCTGACTGTTTGGATGCTTTCCCAATAAGGGTGAGGATAATAGTCCCCTGCTCTCTCTGCTTCTGTGAGGGGACTGGGGTCTGGCTCTGGTCCCCAGTAGGTCAAACAGGACTCGGCAACTGATGTGACCCAGTAGTGGGGAGCCATCTCAGCAAGATGGCTTCAGGAAACCACCAGGGTTCTACCAGAGAAGAAGACTGATTTTTTTTAGATAGAAAAAACATAGTGTTGAATGTAATGAAATGCCATTTTCTGAGTGAGCCCCGGAGGCTTCCTGGAGCTTACTGGGCTGATATGTATGTATTAGCCCGTGGCATCAGTAGACTAGAGTTCTTGTCTACCAAGGACCACGAGCCAGAACCTGACCCCCCTCAGAGAGGCATGGTCTAATACATACATATCAGCCTGGTAAGCTCTAGGGTGCTGTAGGGGCTCCCCACAGTAAATAAATAAAAATTGTAAACAAGAAAATTGTGTGTGTGTAGTCTTACATGTACAGTGTACTATGATATCTTACATTTCATAAGTAGAGCATAGCATTAAAATATAGTAGCAAACAATAAGAATAATGGAGAGTAATACATACCCAATGTAAGTTTGCCATTTAGATTTTCTCCTCGGAGGCTGTAAGCAGAGTACTGGTCCACCATACACTGCGTTAAGTTCTTAAATTTATCAGAAGTTTCTTGCTGCCACCACTGATCTAAGTTTCCCTCCTTGTCATATTTTCTTCCTAAAAATAGGAATATGTTGACATCTCTGTTAATAAACACATAAGACAAGGGTTCAATACTTTAAAAAAATGTAAAAAAAAAAAATTGTGCTTTCTCACTTTCATGCTCTTCTTTTAGCCATAATTTTTTCAAAGGGCAAATGTTTGAGTTGCTATAAACTATGTTGTTCCCCCAATTCTGCTGTATATCTGTTCCTTAAATTGTAATGATCTCCTTAAAAGAAATAACCATATGATAAAGGTATAATTCTTAACCCTTAAACTGCGCAAAGCATCATACGATACTTTGAGTAACTGTCAACAAATTTCTCCAGGTATTAGGAAGATGAAACACCATGAGCATAACTCTCATCCTGTAACTACACTTTGGTAATTAACCACACACAAACAAATGTATAGCTTGGGGACCATACAGCAATACTGTATTATAGACTGGGGAATAGCAACTATAAAATGAACCATCAAATCACTTCATACTACAAACCTTGATCATCAAATGCATGAGCAAGCTCATGCCCCATCACTACGCCCACAGCACCATAGTTGAGTGATTTTGGATTGCCTTGGTGAAAAAATGGAGCTTGAAGTATACCCGCTGGGAATACAATGTTATTTCTGGAAGAAAACATTTAGTAAAAATAAGAAGCTACAACATTCAAAAATTCATATTTCAGTATTTTATAATTAGGTAATTAAGTTGTAGAAAATTAGCTATAGATTTTGAATAGAGAACATGGAGCATTGAAAATATCCAGTATTGAAAGTAATGAAATTGCCTCTTTCCGGTGGGCCACACTCAGTAGCTCCCCAATGCTATAATCTGGAAGCAACCATGTCTTGAGGAACATGCCAGTACTCATATGTCTCATGAGTGCCTACCAAGGTCAAGGACCAGAAACTGGCCTGCTTCAAAGAGTGAGGGGAACCGGGGAATCAGAGGTTGCTATAAAGCCGAGCAAAAGACCAAAAGATCCAAAAGCAAGCAATTGTTTGGAGAAATCTATTTCCTGATAAAAACCTATGCAAATAATCATTTCTATGGCAAGATCAGCACCTAAATACACTTGCCTGTCCACACACACACACACACACACACACACACACACACACACACACACACACAATCACTACCATCCAATCCCTTCACAGCTTTCCGTACTCCCCTTCTCTACTTTTTCAATTCACATTTCCTACGAGTTGCTCAGTCCTTGGTTGAAGTATGCTCAGTGTGGGTCCTTCATGGCCCTTATCTGTTTGTTTTTTCTGGAGGGAGCCCTCTCTACCTAAGGTAGTTTCCTGAAGTTATCTTGCCGAGATGGCTCTACTGTATATAAAAAGTCACATCTGTCTTGGGTTTTGTTTGCCATACTAGGGACCAGAGCCAAACCTGTCCCTGTCCTCACCAGAGGTGCAGGAAATGGGTAACAATCTGCCATTCCACTGGAAAATGCCTCCAAAAACACAGTGAAGCTTTACTGTGAACTGGAGAGTTCACAGAAAATGATGCCTTAAAACCACCAAACAATGATTCTGCCAAGGATTCATACAGAACAAGGAATTCACTCAAACAGTTTGAAACTTCTTAATATAGATTATCCCCATCAAGCAGCCCTCAGCCAACTCCCATGAGTTACATTGCTGATGAAGCAGAATATGGAGCTACCTGTAGTGTTCTAGTCAGTCAGCTTCAAGCAGAGGGGCTTGCCCAAGATCTAAGTGTTGGCCTTTCTATGATGTTTAGAGAATAGGAATTGAAGGTGTTGATGACTTCTACCTGGACTAAGTCCGAACTTCCTCTTTCATTGTTGGGTTGTTCATCAGCTCCAGAACTGAGATGGTGAGTTGGCTGAAAGATGGAGACAAGCCGTAATTCTGTGGCGTGGGTTCGATTCCTGCACGAGGCAGAAAAAAATGGGCAAAGTTTCTTTCACTCTGAATGCCCCTGTTACCTAGCAGTAAATAGGTACCTGGGATTTAGTCAGCTGTCACAGGCTGCTTCCTGGGGGTGGAGGCCTGGTCGAGGACCGGGCCACGGGAACACTAAAAAAAAAAGCCCCGAAATCATCTCAAGATAACCTCAAGAAGATGCCACTTGATGGTAGTAGTCAATACTAACGAGTTTCAAGCTAGTATGAGTGAATCCCTTGTTCTGTATGAATTGTTTGTGGAGTTGTTTGGTGGTTTTGAGTTTTTTTTCTGAGAACCCTCCAGTTATTTGTAAAGCTTTGCTGACTTTCTGAAGTTTTTCCAGTGAAGTAGTGAATTGTTACCCGCTCCCTGCACCTCTGAGAGGGCAGGCCATATTCTGCCTTTGGTTCTCGGTAGGTCAAACAAAACTTCTGCAATTGACGTGACATGTTAGTATGGAGTAATCTCGGCAAGATAGCTTCAAGGAGCCACTGGGACCCCTCCAGAAAGAGGCATTTCATTACATTCAATGCTGGGATTTTGATCTGGTTCTTCTGGCTCAGACACTTTTGGGCTTGCTCTGGTCTGGCACTTTTGTGCATCCCTGGTTGAGGATGTGCTGAGTTTCCTGGCATTTGGGTTTGTGGCCTTCCCTGTTCTTCACTTCTTATTAGAACTATCTTCTGGAGTACAGGACTTCAGAGCCACCCTGGCTTGTTTTGACTCCATTATCTTTTGGGGTCACATGGGTTATGTGACCACCCCTCACTTTGTTTTGGTGAAGGCTGGTTTTCAGAGTTCATTGGGTATATCCATTTCTTTTGGCTTTTACGGCAAGGAGGTTTCTGTTCTCTGGCAAGTGTTTTGTTGAGGTTCTGCAGCCTATCATTTCCTGAGGTGAAATGTCTCTTATGCTTCCCAGCCTGCCACTATGTAATCATTGGACCCTCCTATGGTCCCATACCTTGTCTGGCCGTGTTCTACTACAGTAATTGGTTCAGTCACCTATACAACTGTCCTTGTAAATATCTGTTGTGAAGTTGCCTCAGGAATCAACTGAATGTGTTTTTACATAAATAAAATGGCTATTGGGTGGTGGCTACTTTCTACTAGTAGTTCAAAAGATTCAATTATTAGTAGAAGTTGTTAAAACATTTGTTATGCTCTTTGGAGTCAGCGAAAGATCTCTCTAGGCTGTAGAGGCTATTCTCCAATGACTTACCTCTCCAATTGTGGCAAGACTATTTATAAAGTGTCTTGTCACAGTGCAATTAAGTTTACCAGAGCTTGGCATCTTAGTAGTGTCTTGGGTGGAACCTAGCTATTGGATCAGGGAGCAACTAAGGGCCCACTCAGAAAGAAATTTAAATTCTCTCGATGCTTTATTTATACACACATATTGAACTATAATTATATAAATATTAAATAATTTTAATCAAAATCTATTTTATTCCTACCTCGTTGGAGAATAATAAGCATTGACTGTAGGTGGAGACATTTCCCATCTTGTCTTGTTCACCGGCTTGAATAAACGAGCCAAGTTTTCTTTAACAATAAAGTTGTTAACACGGACATTATTTTGGAAGAAATCATTTTCTTTTATTTTTAGGTCAGTAAATTTTGCATCCAGCTCTGCCTTATTGAGGATATAGTCTGGAAAGCCTGAAGGAGATACATAACATAAGAATAAAATTAAATCTAATTTACCAACCTACCATAATACTGTATTATAACATTTAATTTTGTTTAGGGAGAGAAGTTTATAGAACTTAGGCAAAATACTGTACCAATCATCTCGGATATAGAAGAAGCTTTATCAATTGCAGCTTTAAGTGTCTTTTTGTCCATCCAGTGTACAGACTCCAAATTTTCTTTAAAGGTTTTTCGAACTCTTTTGATCATCTCTTCTGCCTGAAATGTTCAAAATAGTGTTATGATATATAATAACAAATTTTGACTTGGTATGGGGTCCAGGATGGACTAAAATGTTACTTTAATATTCAAATGTGTTGGTTGGGTTTATGAATATGAAAGTTGTTAGAGCTCAAAACCCGTGCCATGGTATGAATTCAGGCCAGTGACATACCAGCCAACACCAATATGATCTAAACTACTGATTCACACAAATATTGAGTAATTTCCCAATCATATCGTAACCTACTTGGCAATCAAACCTGGTCCAACGGAATATGGGTCACACACGGATCATAACATTGCTATATTCAGAGAAAAAAAGTAGGTGTGTAAAAAAATAAGTTATTATTATAAAATGACAGTACTGGTACTTATAGCTACTATGGGTGGAAAGTATGGAGTGTTGTGCCAAAAAGTGTATATTTTATACTGCTGGATTTCTAGGACATGACAACTGAAATTAGCTAACCATAAACCTACTCTGTTCTAGGCTTAAATATGTAATCCTAGACCTAAATTAATATAGGCTTACGAAGTTAAGTTTAGTTGCTTTCTTTGTTGAACCCTCTACAAAATTAATACTGTAGTACAAAACTTACTCTTTTAGGTGCAACTCCATTTTTTGAATGCCATCCATAATAGCTATAGGTACTATAATTTTAAATTTTGTTGCAAGTGTTAACCATAGACAAAAAAAAAAATCATTTCTGGAGAAATGTGATGGCTGAAGAGAGAGAGGATGTTGCCAGCAAAGTTTTGTGTTGCCACCCTCAATGTTTCTAACATAAAGCTGTACATACTGTGGAATTCATTGCTAGGAAAGAGTTGTATTTGCTTCAATTTTAATGAGGTATATCAGGCAATTTAAAAATGGCATTCTAGGATAAAGTTTATCTTTAGAAAGGTTAAGTAAAGATTTTTGTTTTTATAATTTAATTATATTATTATATTTAGATATCAGTTTATGTATTTGAATATGTAGATACAGTATATGCAAGGATGTGTTGTATCATTTTTGGTAAAAATGGAGAGATATACCAATCGGTAGCAATAAAATAGCAAACACCTTGACTTCTTATTATTATTGTTATTTAATGACCAAGTGAATGGAAGGGACTATGAAGAGCGATGAGCTTGTGTGGAGGTGGTGGAATGTTGTTCAATGCTCTGGAGTTCTTATTCATGAAGTTGTGCATGTGTGCGAGTTTGTTACAATTTACAACGGGTTTCAGATACCAGGTTGAAGTTGAAGTTTGGCGGGATGAAGTTGCAGGCTTCGAAAATTCTTCCATCAGCTATATCGACTTTTGTAACTACAGTATTTTGTATTTGGTGATCATATCACCTCTTTTTCCTTCTATCTTCCAACTTAGGCATATTCAGTGCCTCGAGCCTCTTCTCACAGCTCTTGTTTTTTAGTCTCAGAAGCGTTTAGTAGCATGTCTTTGCACTCTTTCTAGCATACTGATGCACTTTTTGAGAGCATTACCTAAGTGTAATTACCTATGTGTGTGTGACAAAGTATGTACTGAGTGTGAAGAGTGTGTGACAAAGCATGTACCGAGTGTGAAGAGTGTGTGTGTAACAAAGCATGTACTGAGTGTGAAGAGTGTGTAACAAAGTATGTACTGAGTGTGAAGAGTGTGTGATAAAGCGTGTACCGAGTGTGAAGAGTGAGTATGTGACAAAGCATGTACTGTACTGAGTGTGAAGAGTGAACAAGAAGTGGTAGAAAACAAGGTAAAGTTAAGGCATGAAGGAAGAAAGGTGTGAATGCTTCAAATTGTTCTACACAATAACCTACAAAAAGCACTTTACATCTAGTTTGTGATGTAAAGTAATTGCCTGCTGTTGACAATTTTCTAGAAGATTGCGGTTGTATTTCTTAGTGATGCTGTTGAGTAAGGAATGTATGGGTTCATTACTGTTTAAATATATATTTGATCTATTGTAAAATGCCTCCCCACCCCATGAATGTAGGAAATAAAGTGATAATGATAATGTAAATCCCATTGTAAATACTTTAGAATTTTTGATTTACTGAAAACCTGAGGCTGGAATGCATACCATGTTCTTTGAGTCTGTATGGAAGGCTTTACGAATGTACATGGCGCCAACAGCGGGTCCCAGAGCTGCATCTGTTGCCACAACACACTCTCTCCAGGACTCCTCGGTCCCGATTACACCCATCTGTGCCTTTTCTAGTACTTTAGCAGCTTCTCGGAACTCTTGAGATAAGAAGCCAACATAGTTACGGACAACCTGCCACACCAGGTAGTTGTGGACATTTCTGATGTGAAGATAATAATGTACATTGATGTTAAAAGTATTAATTACAAATTTCATATACAGATTTATTTCTTTTTAGAGAACCATGAAAGGCATACCAATTTTTAAACCTTGACTTTTCCATATGTGCTAAAACTCGTTACCACATCAAGCACACCAAAAAGACCATATGCAAAGGATCATACCAAAAGTAGTTAAGCAAATCTTTAATACGCTAAGACAATCATCAAAAGATATTACCTTAATAAACCCAGCATTGATTGTAATGAAATGCTTCTTTCTGGTGGAGCTCACTGAGATTGCTCTATTCTAATGGGTCACGTCAGTCGTAGTTCTGTTTGACCTACCGGAGACCAGAACCAGTATCTGGCTCGCTGCACGGAAGGCAGGGAATCAAGGAGCCACTGGGGCTCCACCAGAAAGAAGCATTTCATTATATTCTACACTGTGTTTCTGGGGAAGCCTCTCAGTGACAACTTAAAGCTAACCATGAAGAAGGAAAACACAGGACTCGATAGGTATAGGAGAGGTGGCGGGTACTTAGAGGAAGGAGAGAATCCAGGTCATGAATACAGCCCACAGCAACACATGACCAATTAGGACCAGGGACATTAATCAAATACCAGGTCCACCAGAACCCGATTTGAATGCCAAAACTCCAGAGCCCAAATATCGGCCCACACATGGCAAAACCCAACCAGTCCCTGACCCTGGGATGAATAGGGAGGCACCAGTACTTAAGGTCCAGGGACACCATCCAAGCGCACTTGAGCCAAGGTGGTCAAGCAGAAGGCTGGATAAGGAATGAAGGTATTCAAGCCAAAAAGTTTGAGGATGTACCATAGTACCGCTGAGTCCCTCTTCAGGACCTGGAATAACCAGGAAACTCACTAAAGGGACAAGGTCCACTCAACCACATCCATGGCCCGGGCATAGTTGAGTTGTAGGTACAACATACATATATCAGTTTCAGAGTGAGCCAATGAAATAGTGTTAGGAAAGCATCAATGTAAGATGTGTTATCAAAACATTATCTCCACTGAGTAAGGGATGTATAGTCTCCATTATTCCTTTCCATATTTTGTTTGACATGCATGTACAGTATGTAGAATGAAAATATGTTAATGAAAACAAAAATTAACTCACATAACTCCCTCTTCGGTTGCAATTGTGTTATCAAGAATCTTTGCAAGATTTTTCAAAAAGTCTGGGGCATAGACAACTACATCTTCTGAGCCACTTAAATGTTTGTTTATTTTGTTAAATGCCGAATTTATGAAAGTTCCCCAGTCCATCTGAAATGTCAGTATCACCATATAAATCAAATGCAGAACAGTACATATAATATAACAATTTCCTGTCTATTTGATATATTCAAGCATACTGTACTTCTATATGCATGTTATTAAGATACAGTAACACTAAATCAATATTTAACACAATTCAATTATAGAATATCTGTTTTTATTGTGTTTAATAAAGGGTTTTAGATTGAAATTACTTACAAATGGTGCCAATTTATTAAGATCATCTATTTTCATAAGGTGATACAGCTTATCATCATCTCTACGTTCATCATCTGGAGCAGTGATTGTCGCCAGCTGATGTTCTATTGATAAAATGCCCGTAGCTGCCTGTCTAGTGGCGTCTTCTTCTCCACCCAGAAGCACCCCAACCTGTAAAGTGAGGATGAAAATATTTCCTTTAGAAGATTATATTGCACAATACTGTTACAAAATCAGGCATTGAATGTAATGAAATACTCTTTTCTGGGGCAGCCTCAGTTGTTCTTTGATGTGTAGTGTAGTGTAGTTCTTTGATGCATTGGCACCACAGAGACTTCCTCAAAACTGTGACTCTGGATTTGCACAGGTCTACAAGATACCAGGGCCAGAATTAGGTGTGCTCATGGAGGTGAAGGGTGGTGATGAGGTCTGAGACCGAGCCAAAACCCAATCAAATTATCCACAGAGTACAAGCAAAGCACAACAAACTATGTGTCATGATTAAAAAGAGAATAGATAGATACAGGGGGAAGCAGTAAAAAGATAGATACAGGGAGGAAGCAGTAGTTTGCCTAATGTAAAATACCCCTACATTGGTACCAAAGCTTGCCACCAGGTGGCAGCTCAGGTCACCCAAAAGTCCAGTTTACCTGTCACCTTATTCACGTGTCCTCTTTGCAACACACCCGATCCCTACGGGTGAGAAAAATAAAGAAGGTATGGAAATTTACGTACCCTACCCAGAAATTGGCATTTCATTACATTCAACACTTGATTTCTGGGATGACCCAAAATAACTCCTTGGTACAAACTGTACTCTTAACGGCTCCTCTGATAGGAAACTGTGTTGGTGTTGAAACAAATTATTAAAGGAACAAGCAAAGATAGAGTGGCTGACTCCCATAGGTCGAGAGGGAAGGAAATGCAGGACACGGGGACATAGGAACTCAGTGGCTATAATAGCATCCAAAAACCACATACACCCAGGAAGGACAGGCAATATTTAAGTGGTAACAAGCACCAACACCAGGTTATACCACAAGAAAGTCATAAACATATTAGCAAGAAGGGAAGCAAATGCTGCATATTTGCACACAACATATGAACATGGATACATATCAGGCTGGTTGACCAGCATCACTTGACATAAGCAGAGAATGCCTGGACAAAGCACTAAGGAAACAAGATTGACGAAGAGAGCCACAGCTCATGAAGTAGCCTGCAAATACTGTCATAGTTCCAATCTACAAAAGTGGTAGCAGGGAAGACCCCTCAATTATAGACCTGTAAAATAGACATGTGTAATAGTCAAAATATTGGAATAAATAATTAAAACTAAATGGGTAGAACACCTGGAGAAAAACGACATAATATCAGACAGTATGGTTCTCAATCTGAAGGATCCTGTGTAATGAACTTACTCAGTTTTTATGATCGAGCCACAGAGATTTTACAGGAAAGAGATGGTTGGGTTGACTGCATATATCTGGACCTAAAAAAAGCTTTCGACAGAGTTCCACATAAGAGGTTGTTTTGGTAACTGCAACATATTGGAGGCGTGACAGGTAAGCTTCTAAAATGGATGAAAAATTTTTTGATAGAAAAATGAGGACAGTAATCAGAGGCAATGTATCGGACTGGAGAAATGTCACAAGTGGAATACCACATGGGGTACAGTTCTTGCACCGGTAATGCTCATTGTCTACATAAACGATCTACCAGATGGAATACAGAATTATATGAACATGTTTGTTGATGATGCAAAGATAATAGGAAAGATAAGGAACTTAGATAAGTGTCATGTCCTTGAGGATGGACAAAACGACCTTGAAGACCTGGACAAAATAAGTACAGTATATGGAGCAAATAGAATTTAATGTGAATAAATGCCATGTTATGGGAATTTGGAATAGAACATAAATCCCACACAACCTATAAATTATGTGAGAAATCTTTAAAGAATTCTGATAAAGAGATCTAGGGGTGGTTCTAGATAGAAAACTATCACCTGAGGACCACATAAAGAACATTGTGCGAGGAGCCTATGCTTCACTTTCTGACTTCCAAATTGCCTTTAAATACATGGATGGAGAAATACTAAAGAAATTGTTCACCACTTTTGTTACACCAAAGCTGGAATATGCAGAGGTTGTATAGTGCCCATATCTTAAGAAGCACATTAACAAACTGGAAAAGGTGCAAAGACATGCCACTAAGTGGCTCCCAGAACTAAGGACAAGAGCTACAAGGAGAGGTTAAAGGCATTAAATATACCAAAACTAGAAGATAGAAGAAAAAAAAGAGGCAATATGATCACTTACGTACAAAATGGTAACAGGAATAAAAAAATTGATGGGAAAAATTCCTGAGACCCCGAACTTCAAGAACAAGAGGTCATAGATTTAAACTAACTAAACAAAGCTGCCGAAGAAATATAAGAATATTCACTTTTGCAAACAGAGTGGTAGACGGTTGGAACAAATTAGGTGAGAAGGTGGAGGAGGCCAAAACCGTCAATAACTTCAAAGCGTTATATGACAGAGTGCTGGGAAGACAGGACACCATGAGCGTAGCTCTCATTCTGTAACTACATTTAGCTAATTACACGAGAACTAGACAAAATGCCAATTTCAGAGAATAACATACAGTATATCGGTGAGTCTAATGAATAGGTAGAAAAGTTGCTCGATAACAAAGTGGTTGGCCCAAGTGTAGTATCAAATTGGGTTCTGAGGGAATGTGCACCAGAGCTGAGCATTCCACAACAATTGAATCTTCAAGCATCTTTATATACAGGAATCCTAGCAAATATATAGAAAAAGACAAACATAATTTCAATTTACAAATATGGTAACATAGAAAATTCTCTAAAATTATTAATCTGTTTTGTTGACAGGCATGGTAGTCAAATCACTAGAAAACTCATTAAAATCAAATGGGAAGAATATATGGAAAGAAATGACATAATAACAGACAGACTGGAAGGTACTCCAACAGGAAGCTCCTGTGTAAAATATCTACTTAGTTTTTATGACAAGAGCCATAGAGATCTTACAAGAAAGAGATGGTTGGATTACCTGCATTTATCTGGACCTAAACAAATTCTTTTGACAGAATGCCACACGAGAGGTTGTTCTGGAACATGCTGGAGGGGTGACAGGCAAATTTCTGACATGGATGAAAAATCTTCTGACAGAAAGATGAGGGCAGTAATCAGAGACAATGTATTAAACTGGAGAAATATTACTAGTGGAGTATTACAAGGTTCAGTACTAACACCAGTAATGTTCATTGAATATATAAACGATCTACCACAGGGGATACAGAATTATATGAATATGTTTACTGATGATGCTAAGCTACTAGGGAAAATAAGAGACTTAGACGATTGGCATGTCCTTCAAGATGACCTGGACAAAGTAAGTGAATGGAGCAACACATGGCAGATAGAATTCAATGTGAATAATTTCCACATCATAGAATGTGGAAATAGAGAAAATTGGAAAAAATACAAACTACAAATTATGTGGAAAGACATCAAAGAACTCGGACAAAAAAAAAATTAGGGGTGGGTTTGGATAATAAACTGTCACCCAAGGACCACAAAGGGTATCCTGTGAAAAGCTTATTCAGTATTTTTTTCAATTTCAGAATTGCTTTTAAATATATGGATGATGAAATGCTGTAGTAAAGAAATTGGTCATGACTTTTGTGAAACCAAAATTCAATTAAGCAGAAGTTGTATTGTGCCCATACCTCAAGAAGCATATAAAAAAAAACTGGAAAGAGTGGAAAGACATGCTACTAAATGGCTTCCGAAACTAAAAAACAAGAGCTTTGAGGAAAGGCTCATGTTAAATATGCCAAAGCTTGAAGAGCGAAAAAAAAGAGGTGATATGACTACTACAGTATGTACAAATAGTAATAGGAATCGATATATAGACAGACAAATTTTTGAAACTTGCCACTTCAAGAACAAGAGGGCACAACTAAGGAATCAAGGTGTTGCAAAAATATAATATTCTCTTTTTTTTTAAACAAAGTGATAGATAATTAGAATAAGTGAGAAGGCCGTGGAAGAGAAAACCGTCGGATGTTTTAAGCGTCGTATGACAAAGAGTACTGGGAAGGTGAGACACCATGAACATAGCTCTCAAACTGTAATTACATACAACATACCATACACACAGCAGACCTATTCAAATTTTCTCCTTTGTTCCCTTCATTTATTGTACTCTTTTAAAATCGATACCACTAACACTGCATTCCTGAGATAGAATGATTCTACTTTAATAAAAATTGATGCACATGTAGCACAATATTTTTGTCTTTCAAAAAAATATGTTTAAATTACTTTGGTGGCACAATGATACCATCATCCCCACCACCACCGTGGTACCACTGCTGACCTTCACCAGGATGCAACCACCACAACAGCTGATTACCTCCCAGGTACCTATTTACTGCTAGGTGGAGAGATGCATTAGGTGAAAGGAAAAGTGCCCACCCATTTCTGTCCCACCTGGGAAATGTGCTCAATCATTTCTATTCCAGGCGGAGAAATGGTTGGGCATTTTTCCGTTCCACTAATTAATGCCTCTGTAAACCTAGCAGCAAATAGGTACCTGGGAGTTAGCCATCTGTTACAGGAGTTGCATCCTGGGAAAGATCATTACACTGTACTTTGGCCTTGGGGATCACAATACAACCCTAATGTATATATACTGAATACACAGGCTGCCTGTCCTGAACAAAATGCACTATTATTACGATCGGCAACACTTGCCTCACTAGCACATCACCATTAACACCACAATCAGTAAAAAATACCATGGCACTGTTTTATCAGATTAGCTTGTGGCAACAGATTGGCTTTCTTTAACAATAAGGATCGCAAAGTACAGTTAGCTTCATTACCGATTCACAATTGGGAATCCCAAGTACGATTCCAGAACAGGACAGAAATGGTTGAGAATGTTTCCTTTCATTAAATGCCTCTGTTCACCTAGTAGTAAATAGGTACCTCGGAGTTTGGCCAGTGTTGTGAGGTTGCATCCTGGGAAGGGGGGGGTCAGTAGTTCAATCTTGGGGGGGGAGGGGATGTGGACCTTGACACTAGCCTAAAGTATAACATATACTGTGTGTGTGTGTATATTTATAAGTGTTGTACCTAGTAGC